AGGGAAAGCCTCAGGGGCTGGGGGAGGGAAAGCCTGGGGGGCTGGGGGAGAGAAAGCCTGGGGGGCTGGGGGAGAGAAAGCACTTTTCCTTTCCACAGTCTGTAAACTGTCTGGAGAGCTTCAAAGTTGAAGAAACCATAAAAAAGAAAATAAGAAATAACAAAAAGGAAAGTTGCCATAGAAACGGCCCTCTCTCCCTCCCCTGAGCCCGCTGGGGCTGGCACCAGAGTGTGGAAAAAGCTCCTTGGCTGGCCCAGGCTCACACCAGGAATGTGGCCGCAGCTGAAACTGGGCTGGAGCAGGCTCCCACCACCAAGCGCAGCAGAGCCCAGCCGAGTGACATTCCAGCCACTGAGCAAGCGGTTACCCTCCATTCTGGCTAAGCTGAGGGTTATGTCTTCCTGGACAGGATGAGAGAGCCTGGGGGCTGGAGGAGTGTGCTTGGCCTTGGGTCAGTTTCTTCAGAGAAACTGGCTCTAGGAGGCCCATGAGCTGGGGCTGGGATACTTGGGGAGGGGGCCGCATGTTCCACCAGTAAAGCGCAGGCAACAGGCCAGGGTCTCTGGCAGCTGGAAGAAAAGCCCTGCATAGCGACGCCACAGTGTTCCCAAGCAGCCCATCTCTAGGCGGTCCCAGGAACATGCAGCTGCACCAGGCTTGGCCAAGGGTACCGGTCTGGGGAGCCAGTGTGAGCTCACGGCCATGGCCGCAGAACCAGGCCACAGGCCTGATCTGACCCTGTTCCTGGGGCCTGTCCCCATCAGATGCAAAAGACTGGCATGAGAAGTGCTGGCTGGTGTGTGCACTGAAGGCCTGGCCCTGACACCAAACTGTCCCCCAGGCCAGCTCTTGCCGAGGGGCTTGGCTGTCACCTGGCCTTACCCAGTGTGGAGCCCTCAGTCCCTGGAGCTACCACACAAGTATAAATCAGGCCTAGAGTTCTGCCGGCAGAGGCCTTGGAGATCAAAGATTCTTCTCACTGTCCAGAGGTAAGTGTGGTGGGAGCTTTCCCCCAGGGCCACCTACAGGCTCAGCAATGGGTTTGAGTGATGATGCTCAATCCACTCCCCATCCCCACCCCCCACCCCCGCCCCCGTTCGAGGCTTTTTTTTTTTTTAGATAGGGTTTCTCTGTATTTCTGGCTGTCTTGGAACTTGCTCTGTAGACCTCAAACTGCCTCTACTTCCTGAGTGCTGGGCCAGAGCTGTGAGTGGCTGATTTCTTAGACTTCCCAGACCCTATGTGAGATGGGTCAGCATCACGCAGCCTATTGGCCTCCCATCAGGATCCCAGAGATGCTGGGACAAGGGTTAAGTTTTTGGGCCAGGCAGATGAGCACCCATGTCAGCTGCCCAGAGCTTGGTCACTTTTAGGGGATGGAACTTTGTCTAGAGAAATAATTTCAGTCCCGTGTTCTGAGGAAGGAAAGGCTTTGGCTTCTCTGGCTCTCTGGCACAGAGAGGCGGGCCCGGGCTTGACGGCTTCCCCAAAGCTGAGAGCAACTTGACAAGAGGGGCTTTGGCCAGAGGCCCAGGTCCAGCTTCGGCACTGTCCAGTCCCTGCGACTATCACAGCTCTGAATAAGCCCTGGACCGGCGACCCTTTTCCCAAGCCCAGGGCTCTGCTGGCTGACACCCTAGAGCCCAAAGATTCATCTTACTGTCTAAAGGGGGTGTCAGGCAGACCAACAGGCAGGGATTCTGTGCTAGGTCTGAGAGTCTGAGACTCATGGCCACTTTGTGGTCCCCATACCCTTCAGGTCCAGCTGCTGATGGCCTCATTGTGGTCTGGTCCTTTGCCAGTTCAGCCACTACCTTGGCAGCTACTCTTCTGAAATGGTGAGGAGGGCCCACACCTCCCACCCCTATCACACTTAGTTACCCAAGGTCCCTACCCTACTCAGCTCCTTCCTTTCTGGAACATTCTTCTTACCTGTGAATCTTCCTGGCTGCCTCACAGCCTTGGCCCCTGTTCATAAGGCCTGGAAGGTGCTTGTAATTTTTCCTCTACTCACAGCCCACACACCTCCATCCACCTCTAGGATACCTGGGCATCTGCCTCCCCCCCACCCCACCCCCAGGTCTATATCGGCAGGAAGCAGCGCCTGTCCCCAGACACTGTTTGCCTCTGCCTTTGTAAGTACAGTGATGGGCTTCTTTGCGGTCCACACCAAAATGCCTACCTCGATACGCAGATGTTGATGGCTCAACTGTGGTCCCATCAGGCCTGTGGGGAGAAGAGGAGGAACCCCTGAGTATTCTGCCCTGTCCTCTTTGGGTGTCGATTTCACCCAAACCAAGGCCAGCGGTTCTGGGGCAGTTCTGGGCCCCAGCGCAGCAGAGCCTGGTGGCCCCCATGTGTCCCGCCTTCTCTAAGGCTCCCCTCTGTCTTCCGAGGCTGCATGCTCACATCCCCAGGCTCTGGTTGTGGCATCTACTCTTTGAGAATTCTCTCAAGCAGCCCATTCCTGGCTTTCTGCACTCTAGGCCTCACCGATAGAGCTCTGATGCCTCATAATCCCAAAACTGCTGGGCAGGTGTGTCACAACCACTCCATGACTCTGGACAGTCTTGCCTCCTCAGAACCAAGGTATAGTTTTTGGGATGCGAGAGGTTCTCATACCCAGCCTAGCACATAGGGAGGAGTTAGGAGCTGGTCTGAGAACAGCTGAGGTCTGGACCTGCTTGGAGGTTGCCAAGGAATACATCCATCTTTCAGGAAGAGGTGACTCAAGGGGCTGGGGAGTTGGCCCAGTCAGCAAAGCTGTTGCTCTGGAAGCACAAGGACCCCAGTTCAATCCCCAGTAAAATGTCAGATATGGTGGCGTGTATTTGTGACCCTAGCATGGGGAGGTGGGGACAGAGGACCCCTGGAGCTTGCTGGCCTTCCAGTCTAGCCTAATTGGTGAACTCCAGGCCAATGAGAGACCTTGTCTCAAAGGAGGTGGACAGTGTTCCTGAGGATGGCATCCAAGGTTGTCCACTGGTCTACATACACACTCAAAGAGATGTGACGAAGCTGAGGCACCCAAGTGATCCCTCAAAAAACAAAGGCCAGTATCACCTGGGAGATCTCAGAGTGGGAGGAAAAGGACAAAGGTAGAAAAAGGTCCCATTCTGGAACCCTTTATCCAGAGGCTCTGCTCTGGCTCCTGGGCCTGAGAGATGGAGACCTTCACTGCTGCCCACAGGGTCCCTGAGAAACCTGAGGGATCCCCAATGTAGGTACAGCCCCTGTCTCTCACATGCTTCAGACTTAAGCCCAAGTCCTACATGGGGCCCAGGGCCCACACCCTCAGGCTCTGAAAAAGGCCAATGAGGGCTGGTCCAGCTTTTGAGACACACCCCAAAGAAGGACCAGCTGCCCGGGTGGGTCATCTGAGGAGGACCTGGCAAGGCCCTGCTGAATGTGGCCAGTACACGTGGCAAAATGGGGCCCTCTGGCACATCCTGGGTTTGGGTCTCTGAATGAATTGGGTTCTCAGCCTCTTCTCTTCCCTGATGGGAGGGTGAGGATGCTGGCCCCATGTAAACACCTGGCCTCCATCCCAGATGTGTTAAGCTGGGCTGCATGCTGAAGGATGGGTCCCTCTGGACGGGGAGGAGCCTCAGAACTCCAGCCGCTTGGGCCTCCTCCTTGACCCTGGCCCTCCAATCTGGGGCAGCTGATTTCCTGTCACTAGTGGACCAAGGTGGAAAACAGCCAACGCAGAGCTTGGGATGGTGTGGAGGGTCCCTGTCCAGGTGGGGCTTAAGTGACCGGCAGGTTCTGATCCCTTGACAAACTTAAAGACTACATGCCTGGTTTGGGTGATAAAAAATTAAAGACAAAAGATTTTAAAATGACTTCATTTTAAGTAGGGAAAACGGCCTAGGCTGGGCCCCAAGAGTACCTTAAAGGGGAAGAGATAAATAATTTAGCAGCAGCAGGAATAACTAGAGTCTGTCAGGCTGCCAGCTTTAAGAGAAATAAAGGGGGTTACAAGAATCCTGAGAGTTCTAAGAGTTTTTAGAAAGCCCCAGGGCTTTGAGGAGGCCAGACACAGCCAGGCAGGAGCTGGCGTCAGAGCTGGTGGTTAACTGGGCAGTGAAGGAAGACATGTGTTGGTCAGGCCTGAGGCCAGGCTTCAAGGAGACCTGAGAAATGGTCTGAGAAGTGGGCCACTCTATAGTACTTGGTAGCTGTGTGAGGGAAAGGTTCCCACTGGCCCCAAAGTCATGGGTTCGATAAGAACAGTATACACAGGGTGGGCTCAGCAGGAGACTCAGACCAGCTGAGGAGACTGTTGCCAACCTGGGCAGGGGGGGCATAAGCTGGGCTGGCATCCTTGAGTAAATAAACCTGGAAGCCCCTCCATTCTTCATGACCTCCTCTAAGAGTTTTTTTCAGTTTTTCTTTCACTTTTTTGAGACAGGGTCTCATGTATTGTGGGCTAGCTTTGAACTGGCGATATAGCCAAGGATGGTTTCGAACTCCTCATCCTCCAGCCTCTACCTCCAGAGTGCTGGGACTGTATATGTACACCAGCTCAGTTTGTGGGGTGCCCTGCACTGAACCCAGGACTATGTGCGTGCTAGGCAAGTATGCTACCAACTGAGCTACACCTCCAACCCTCTGTTTTGAAATGAGGCCATGGACTGGACAGATGGATCAGAGGTTAAGAGCACTGGCTGCTCTTCCAGAGGGCCTGAGTTCAAGTCCCAGCAACCACATGGTGGCCCACAACCATCTGTAATGAGATCTGGTGCCCTCGTCTGGCCTGCAGGCATACATGCAGGCAGAACACTGTATACATAATGAATAAATCTTTTTTTTTAAATAAAGATTTATTTATGTATTTTATGTAGATGAGTGCTCTATCTGCATGTATCCTGCATGACAGAAGAGGGCACCAGATCTCATTACAGATGGCTGGGAGCCACCATGTGATTGCTGGGAATTGAACTCAGGACCTCTGGAAGAGCAGCCAATGCTCTTAACCACTGAGCCATCTCTCCAGCCCCTGAATAAATTAAAAAAAAAAAAAAGAGAGAGAGAAAGAAAGGAAAAAAAAAAAAAGAACTGAGGTCACGTAGCCCAAGTTGGCCTGGAATACTGAATGTTGGGATATTAGGAATGCTCCATCATGCTTGTCTTCTTCATGTTTTTATGATTGGGACTCCTGGTGTGAATTCTTATTTCCATCTTTTTGTTTTGTTTTGTTTTGTTTTTTTGATTTTTGAGACAAGGTTTCTCTGTGTAGCTTTGCACCTGTCCTGGAACTCACCTGTAGCCCAGGCTGGCCTTGAACTCACAGAGATCTGCCTGCTTCTGCCTCCCGAGTGCTGGGATTAAAGGCGTGCACCACCACTGCCTGGCTTCCATCACAAATTTTAAAAGTTTGCCCTAATGAAAAGGCAGTGGTGGGGTGGCACACACCTTTAATCCCAGCACTTGGGAGGCAGAGGCAGAGGCAGGCAGATCTCATGAGTTTGAGGCCAGCCTGGTCTACTGAGTAAGTTCCAGGACATCCAGAAATACACACAGAGAAACTATGTCCAGAAAAACCAAAATCCACCCTCATTCTTCATCCCCTCCCAACGTTTGAATCCCAGCATTTGGAAGGTGAAGGCATGAGAATTAGGAGTTCAAAGCCAGCCTGGGCAACCTGAAGCCCTGTCTAAAAATCAAAGAGGCTGGCAGTGGGTGAAAGCATCTGCTGCACAAGCCTGACTGACAACCCTTGGGTCCCATGATGGAAAGAGAACTGACTTCTAAAATTTGACCTCCACATTCATGCCATGACATGTGCCCACATTCACACTCATATCACACATATACAATAATAGTAGTAATAATAATAATAATATAAAAATTTTTTAAAGCTCAACACAACACAAGCTTGGCCATCATTTCCTGTTCCCACTTGCTCTCTCTCCTTTTAGGGTCTAGCTCCCTGTGCATTCTGCTTATCTCATCTCTCTCGACTCTTGGGATGATCTGAAGGCCATCTCCATGCTTCTTTTTTTCAAGGTTCCTCCACTCCTCAGGAAGGTTTTCATTTTGGATGGGTTGGTTTCATCCCTGCCAACTCCTGGACTATTTTGCAGATGTGTGCCATCCAGGTCCTTACACACAGCGGGTCCATGTTCTTGACGGGACTGAGCCCCACTTGTCCCTGCACGTTTGACCTGACTTCTGAGAGCCTCCCAGGACTCTGCACGCCCCTTAGCTTTCCTAGCGACCACTGAGTCCAGCTGCAGCTGTCCCCATGCTCTTGTCAGTGGCTCTCCTCTCTCCCATCTTGTTTCTTTGGTTTTGATTGAATTTGAATTTTCTTCTCTCTCTCCCTGTCCCTCTCTCCACCCCACTCCCTTTTCCAAGACAAGTTTCTCTGTGTAGCCCTGGCTGTCTTGGAACTCGAGCTGTAGACCAGGCTGGCCTTGAACATAGAGATCTACCTGCCTCTGCCTCCCAAACGCTGATATTAACCACATTCAACACCACTGCCCAGCTGAACTTTTTCCTCATTTTGGGATGTATTTCCCTGTATCCTTTGCTTGATTGCTGACTTACTTAGCAGTGTGATGGTAGAGCACAGGGCCTCCAGAGTGCTAATCCTCCTTGCTGAGCTGTACCCTCAGCCCTTCCCAGTCTTTCATCAGACTCCAGACACCATGAATTGTGTGCCCTGTTGAGGTCTTTATGTTGTGTCCATTGAAATGTTCTTGATGGTTACTTGCTTAGAGATGGTGCCTTCCATCTGGGTTTTTGTTTTCAGGACTTCTTGGGTGTGGCTTAAATTCAGGTTAATTATTCTGAACTACTAAGAGAACCCTGCCAATACCCTGTATATTTCGAGGTCTCCAGCTAGGTGTCTCCATCTTGCATACCAGTGGCTCTGTCTTGGTCTGGACAATCTGACCTTGGCTCAACTGATTAACTCTGAGGCTCACTTTTTCTTTTTAGTTTTTCACAACAGGGTTTCTCTGTGTAGCCTTGGCTGTCCTGGAACTCTCTGTAGACCAGGCTGGCCTCAAACTCAGAGATCTGCCTGCCTCTGCCTCTCTTGAGCTGGGGTTAAAGGCATGTGCCACCTTACCCAGCTATGGGGCTCACTCTTTACCTTTTCCCAGGCTCCCAGCTCCATCTCCTCCCCTCAGGAGACTTGCAAACTTGCTGGGGTTCCCTTCCCAGCACTGCATCCTGGAGGCTCACTGTGATTGTTTTCCCCCTTTGGGTTCCCT